ATCATAAGTTATAAAATTAAAACTTATTCATATCGCATTTTATCTTGTTTACAAACATTAACAAAATAATCTTACATCTAAACCATTATTAAATCATTTAAAAAATATTATTGATTTCAGTTTATTGAGAATCTTAAAATATTATAAAAATAATACAAGAATATTGCAAAAATATTATTAAATCATAATTAAATCCATAACTGATATATCAATTATATTATTTGAAATCACATATCTTCTAAAGATTAATTGATTAGTCAAATTTTTCAAGTTTGAAAAATTTTGTAATTAAAGAAATTTATGTTATTACAATAATAATAAGAAGAAGAAATTAATAGTAAGTATATATTAATCTTTTCTATTATTATTAAAATTATAATCTTCTAGTTAGATAGTGTAATATATCAGAAAATTTATATAGAAAATTCAAGATATATAGTAATATAATTGAAATAGAATTCATATAGAAAATTAATTTAAGATAGACAAGCTTATTATATTAAAACTATTTTTTTATTTATTATTATATTATTATTAAAAATATAGAACAAAAATAGTATCTTTAAATAATTATATAGAATTAATAATAAAATAAATATAATTAATAATAAATAATACTTATATAATAATATCTTTAGAAGATGCTTATTAATAAATAAATAAAAAATAAATAATTATAAATAAAATATATAATTTAAATAATATACTAGCTAAATTAGTAGAATAAAAGAAAAGAGAAATTCTACTAAGAGAAATTCTACTAAGAAAACTATCTATAGCTAAAACAAATATATTATATAACTTTCTTGACAAGATAAGGTAATTTCTATAGTATAGTATTATATATAATATAGTATATGATATAGTAATAATCTGTAAAATAAAATATAATTTGTTATAAGAATAAGAAAAAATTATAAAATTATAAAATTACAAAATTTTATATAATTAAAAAAAGATTATAAAATTAGAAAATTTTATGTTATTATAATAATAATAATATTAAAATTCTGATAATTATAATTAACATGATATTAAAAAATTTGAATAATATTAAAATATTTTTACTTTAGTAATAAAATATAAGCAAGTAATTAAAATTATTAGATAAATTAGAAAAGTTTATTAAGAAGAAAAAAATTAGTTGATTATAATAGTCTTATATAAATAATTATTTTATTAAAATTATTTAATATTATTATAATAAAAAATGATATGAAAATTAATATTACTATAATAATGTATAAATTATTATTACCATAGTAGTATAAAAATTCTTAATTTCTTAATTTTTTCGTGATTATGCAAAATTACATTTTCTTATAATTTTTATTTATTTCATAATTATCACTATATTTATGTTATATAATTATTTCTTATTACTATATTTATTATTACACTTCTATATTTAGATATTATATTTTATTTATATTTGAGATCTATATTTTTATATTACTTGTAATATGATATTTATGAATATAGTAGAGTAATATAGTGGAAGATTATTTTTAATTTTAGTAGAATGATTATATATCAATCACAAATGACTTTTCATGACTTCTGACAACTTCTTATGACTTCTGATGACTTTCCATGACTTCCTCACGACTTCTGATGACTTTTTATGTCTTTTCAGATATTCTAATGATCTTTCACATTTTTTAATGACTTTTAATATCTTTTGATGTATACGTTTCTAAAATTTATACTATAGTACTTTAAATTATAACATGTATATTAAATAGTATTAGCTAGCAATACTATAATAATTTTTGTATTCAAAAAAATATAAAAGGACCTGCTCCAAAACTTTTTTTGGATTTGATTTTTTCGCCATCTTGCTTAATATCTTTGGATTTTTTGGATGTCGAAGATGAATTTTTGATTTTGAGCAGACCCACACATAATAACGGTAAGATTCGGCTTTGCATGTCTGCGTTCCAGGATCAGCGACCGAAACAGTCGATTTGCTGTAATTAGCAAGCGGGTTTCACTTGACATAATTGATAAACAAAGGATTTAACCAAGCGATCATAAAAGACCTACAGTATTCCCTTAATTTAAACCGTAATTTATCAAATATCTACCAAACCAAATCCGGGAAAAATACTACCATTCGATTCGTCAAGACTTGATGAATCAGAATAGTAGTATTTTCCCCGGATTTGGTTTGGTAGAAAGTTGGGAATCAATTTTTATTTTAATTTCGTATTTTACCCGGAAATTTGATTTTAATCCGGTTCGGAATTAAAAAACCAGATATTATTTATAAAATGCTAATTTTAACCATATATTTCAATAATATATCTTGACAATTTATATTGTTATAAATAAATTAGATAATTTTATAACTAAAATTATAAGGATTTAATAGGTTGGACCTCAAACACTTCTAAATCATCTCATTAAAGAACTCTCGCTTCTCTTTAATTTCAAAAGTATAAGCACGTTGCATGCACTGTCCAATTTTTTTATTATGACTATTAAGATTTATCCATAAATCGGGACCATTTCCAAAACAAATTCCATCCCCAGGATAAATTGTTTAAGTATTCTACTGATCTTTACCATTTATTTTCCTATTATCGTTATTATCAGAATTTGCCACAAATAGATGAAGATCATCCTCGTCTCCATCCATTAACCACGAGATTATATCCACCAATTACTTGATCTTTACCATCATCGCTATCACCAGATATTTTCAGAATTACTATTTTCAGACTAGCTTTATCGCAGTGACGATGGAATTCCTTATCTGAGATTCCATCTTTACTTGCGTGGTACAGCTTTCGAAAAGAATATGCAACTGGACCTTCGATGCTGGATTCTTCGTCTATCCATGATGCTAACAATATTGCCTGTTCTGGTTTTAGGATGCTAGAGTTCATCCGTACTTGCGGAAGTCGCGAAGGCAAAATGGAAAATATAATTGGTGTGACACCTTCAGCATGAAAAAGAATTTAATCTCGAGCAAGATTTTCCGGCAAGAGTTTAATATATAGTAGAAATTTGGCGAAGAATTCATTATTGTTAATATGATTGAACCTTATAAGCGAGAAAAATATTGAAACAACGTTTTTTAATAATAGTTTTTTTGTGTTCTCGTAATTATTGTTATCTATCGCTTTTGATCTTGCCCAATCGATCAGGTAATTCCAGATATCGATTTCTTTCATTGGCAAGTCGACACTTTGTAGAATTGTGGTGAGTGTCATTTCGTTGAGTTTCGAAAGATTCGACGGATCAAACAAGATCTTGAAATTACAGGAAATCACATAGCTCTAACAATAATCAAACAGCTTTCGACGTGGTGTGACAGTATTCAAGATGTCAATTAAATGCTCGTTTATCCAATTTGGCTTTACTGATACCAAATAAGTTTGCACAGACTCTAAAATATCCTCGAATATAAGTTCATCCACGGCAATCAATAAATCCAAAGTCAATTGCGGTCCCAGATTCACCAGATCAATGGTCTTACTATAAATGTACCCGAGAAGCATATCAAAGACTTTGGCCGAAATGTTCTCTTTACTAAATAGATACACCTTGTCGTTCCGCTTGGCCCAAATATTTGATAATGCTACGTTGAAGTATTCGTAATATGTATCTGCTTGGAAGAATCTTATTTCGTGAGGTATTTTTTCCAACTTTTATTAGTACATCATATTCTGATTCGTAGCAGGCAGTGATTGGATAGGTTTCGAGAGGATACATTGTTTTGAAATGTTTGACTAATTTGAATTATAAAATTTCGAATAGGTTTACCGCGGATATACAGTCAAAACTCTATATAACGATGGACGACTCAGCTCAAAGAAATTGTTAAAGGGGGCATTAAAATAGAAAATCGCTATCAACAAATGCTTTTCATTATAGCCAGGGTTTTTTCAAATAAGTTTATAAGGAGATCGTTATATAGAGCTTTGAATGTATCTAGTTTACAATTCACATTAAAAACTGGCTGACCCATTATTGATTTGGATGCATGTGCTTTGTCCTTATGATTGAGTTTTTTTTATAGAAATTGATAATAAACATAATTATCTGTCACTTAAAACAAAATTTATATAATTCTTCATACGTTAACCAAAAAATTCTTTCTAAATATAAGAATTTAAAACTTGTGGGTATAATCTAATCGTTTTTTTTCTTATTGTTAATAAATATTAAGAACCAACTACACGATAACAAAACTCACATAGATTTACACATGCTTTCGTAAGTTATTAACCATCAAGAATGACATGTATTGTATATGGGTAAACTCCTTTTCTATTGAATTTAATTTTTATGGTATTTCGTTATAATAAGCCTTTTTTTATTTTTGATCCATCTATTCTTAAAGATATTGTCAAATCTATAGAAAGAATAAATTAAAGTCAACAAATCGACTCATCTATCATTACCATCACATATCGTTATATAAACACACATGTCATTTATCGTTATAAACACAAAGTGAACCCATAAAATCGAATACTCATGATTGTAGTGAATGCAGTGATTTTCAAGAAATCAGATACTGCGATAAGTGTTTTAGTTCACATTCACATTACTCACGATTGTTAGTGATTGTCAAAAAAATCAGTCCTGCTGTTCATTTTTTTATTATAATTATCACAGATGAATTTATAACGATAAATGGTCTAGCGGAGATAAAGATATCAACTATCTAATAAAAGAATGTAACGTCGAATATCTTGCAAAGGGAGCTCCGCGACAATTTATAAATTTAAACGATGTGGAAAAAATGAAGTTGTGTTGAAATCAAAGCAAATTACTGTGGAGTTATAAATGAGGTAAAAATAAACAACTTCGAAAATGAAGCAAAATTCTTACATGTATTATTTTCTAATGCAATCCAATTTTTCAAATAGGTTATGACTTCTCTTAATGCACTATGGGATACATGTAATTACTATGGAATCGCTAAAAAACCCAGATACAAATGAATATTCGATAGTGATGAAAATGGTGATCTCACCCCAAACGGGTGCCGCCCAACATTCCGACATCCAACATCCCGAAATTCCAACTTCCCGACAACCCAACATCCCGACAACCCCACTTCCCGACAAATTAGTCCATTATAGGGATCGACAACTAGCATTTATTAACATTTTAAACATCAACGCGATAATAATTCTTGGTCATGTAATTACGCAACTTTATTTTTAATTCGTTAATAACTAACTGATTTATCATAAAGGGAATTGAACGTAAATTTTAATTACATATAATAAAAAGCAAACGTAAATCTTATATAAAAGAATAAAAGCAACATATACATATCATTACAAAGAAAAATTGTGCACAATTCCACGAAGAAATTTAACACTGAACGATTTGCTCGATCATTAATAGCATTTATAATTCTTCCCTCTCTATTAATTATTGGCTTTTGTCGGGAAGTTGGGTAGACCCTCCGCAAAAATTGACTTGGAATCAAAAATTAGAATGTTTATATTAGATTATCAATGGTCTAACAAAAATTCACAGCGACAGGTTACACATCGTAACTTACACCCTGGAAATATATTAATTTGCGGTTTTATTCCTAGTTTAGACCTGCCATTCCAACAAATATAGAAATATCTAACCAAGAAATTTGTTGAAAAACCTCCCTATACAAGCCCAGAAATGGAAAACCATATATTACGCTGCAGATATTTATAGCTTTAGAATGGTTTGTACGAGATTGTAACTGGTGAACGACATTCGGTGGACGAGGTCATTGATACGGGTCTTGTATTAGACATTTGCAATGGAATACGACCTACGATACCAAATAATATTCCCGGATGGTGCAAATTTATTATTGAAAAATGCTGGGACCCTATTCCAGAAATAGACCAACAGCTGAGGAACTTCACTACTATCCGCTCTGAGGTCGATGATGATAATTGGAAACCAAATACTTTGCATTTTCAGTTCTACAGCTCTTTAGAAAATCCTAAGACAAACGAAGACGTTAAGGAGTGTCTTAAAGTAGAAAAGCAGAGATTAAATAAACTTGATGAGGAGACAGAATTATAAAAGCTTTCCTACGAATAACAACTAAAACAGCAAATCGTCGATTATTTACCATACCGCAAAATTAATTTCAACAGGTTCAATAGTTTTCACTACTAAGGATCAAACAAAATTAGCATTTCATATTAATAAAAATTTTATTGAATATTTAGGATTTATGAGTGTCAGTTGTTTGTTCCATACGAAGGTAAACTTACTATTAATTTTAATATTACTGTTTGTTTTTTATTAATTACTTTAATTCAGTATTTTCTTTCGCTCAAAACAGATTTCAATGACTTGCAAGAAAAACAACAGGTATTATCGTTCGATTTCTTTGCATTTGCGCTTTTATATAATTTTCGTGTTTATAATTTATAAAGAAATGATATTTATTGAAAATTTATCATCTTCATGTTTGTCTGTCAATTTATTGCAACAAGGTCCTTGATTACGAAATTCTGGAACGATGCAAGACGATCTTATTGCATGTGTCCTTCATAATGTGATATGAAAAACATCAAAGATAAGTCACGTATCACCTGAACAAACCAAAATTCTTACTTTGTGGTAATCAAATTAACACTGCCTTCCCCAATAACACGGATTCCTTACAAACAATTGTATAGTATCGGTATGTTATTTACTTGATCCATAGATATTAATTACAGAATTTCGATCAAATTCACATTTTTGTGCTGCACGTAATAGGTTTGCTTTATTATTCTTTTAATAATTATAGTCGATTATTTATTTCAAAGCATAGCCATGCCCTTTTGTAAAAATTCTTACAGAATTCTTACACTGTACGTTAGGACCCGCGAACGCTTGTAGTAAATTACGATCCGTAAAATAGATAGTTTATTATTAACCAAAATTGCATATAAAGGGAAACTCTCGAAAGCCAGAGAGACAAATCACTGTGTTTGAAGAAAAATAAAAAATTATTTTTAACTCGTACCTAACAGCGCTTCGGCTTTTATTTCTTTTGTGCCTTAACAAAATAGACATAATTATTTCTTTGTGCTTAACAAAATTGAAGCTCTACTGTTTTAATGGATCACGTTTGCTTTGATATTTGGATTATTCTATCATTTAATTTTAACATCGTTATTTGTTTTATTTTATTGTTTTGCAAATAAAACCATTTTTGTGCTTTAGAATAATTATTATTTGAGTTTATTAGTGAATTAGTAATTTTGGTTATTTGAAATGAATTTATACTTGCTAATAATCGGCTATTACTTGTTATTTGAATTAAATATTATTATTTTATACTTTATCTTTGCCTTCTGAATCTTCTGCCTTTTAATTGCACAATCTCCGTATAGTTTGGCATGGGAAACCTTTAGACTCCTAGTGAAACCCGACTCTTTGTAAGTCATTTAGTCTAGCTCAACCATTAATAATGTCTACAATTCTTTAATCGAACTACTGAATTGTATATCTATACGACAAAGATGAGAATATATGATTTAGCTATCAAGAAACACAACCCACTTATATTTTAACACGTAGTAAGTTTAAGTTTGCTATTAATGCTCATGAAACACGCAAATATCTTGTTACTTCTGCCCTTCATACCTTCAGTTGCAAGTAAATAACAGAAACAACGCCCAATCGACCTTAAATAATTATTTCATTTTTATCTTTCGAAAACTTCATTATTATTCGTACTTTGATATGTAAGTACGCATGATAGATAATTTTTATCTTTATTGGGTTAATATCCTGAACCAACTAAAAATCAATAACTGCGCTGAGTTAATTGACCAGAGTTTTCTAGTCGAATATTATAAAAATACATGTAATCCATTCTTTAATAATAAATAAATCAGGCTAATATTAACAATTTTTCATGTGATATAAAAGAAGGATTTATTATATAGCCACCCGCATCCATCTAAATTAAACCAATTTGTTATTACAATTTATCTTACAAAATATAAATAAATGTTAAATACTTACTGCTGTTAGTTCGGAATACACTCAGGTTTATGTCCTCTTATGACACAACGATATCCTTGAATACATAACAGAGTACAGGCTTGGCGCTTTTGATTGAATGGGGCGCCTATTAAACATTAAAGATAGAATCGATACCATTAATTAAACATAATAAATTATAAAAGATTGAAAGGAGAATGTTATATATAAAAACGTACCGGTCGCAATAGCGAAGATTGAAAATAAAACAAGGAGTAAGAAAGCAATTGATTTGTTCATTTTTACTTATTTTTTAGTCTCTATCTAAAACTAATTTTTTAGAGACCTTATATATATATTTGATTTTTGACATTGTTATATTTTTTGTCCTGTGACTTCTTAATTTGTAAAACATAATTTATTGTAGTTGCGCAACATTTATTTATTTTCAGAAAACATAATTCCCCCTTAAAAAACAATTGTTTATCACCAATAAAGAGCTTTTATCTGAATATCAGAGTATTCCGATAACACGTTTTTTTAAATTTTAATTTATTTATTTAAAATGAATGTATTTCATTCAAACTTTAGAAAGTAAATAAAAATTTGTAGACTCGCACACATACAATGTTCATAATGAACCTGAAGCCTTGTTTCTCATTAACGTTATTATACGGTCAAAAATTTGCAATTTTAAACTATTATAGTCCATTAATATTACTTTCATCCACTCTACTATTGATTGCATACATAATGTAACAACAATTACAAATCAT